ATTAACCTTATTATTAAAGATTATGTAGTGTTTTTATTAGAGGTCATTATCGCCGGATCCAAAGCAAAATAGTTTGGGTATTATCGGAATAGTAATTTAGTATTATCGTTATAAGTCTCGACACAAAAATCTACCATGGCAAACGAATATCTTAAAATGAACATAAATGAGAAAATTAGATTTTCAATATTTTCAATCGATTTCAAGTTTTTCCCGACCTCTTTTAGTCCAGTAACAAAAAGCACCCCGATTTTATTTAAATTCATTTGAAATATGTCCCACCGCGTCTTTCATCATCATTTGTAAGAGGAAATATTCCATTAGAATTTATCTTACTTTATATCGGCCGTTCTTTTATATGTCGACTTCTTTTTCCGAACAAAAACGAGGCATTAGGTTTCCTTTCAAAAAATATATCATGATTTGAACAAGAATTTCGTAGATGCGTGATGTCAAAAAGGGCAAAATAGTCATTAAGACATAGTCATCGGAGAGAATATAATCTCGATGTAGATTTGATATGCGATGGATGGAGATTTATTTCGATAACCTAAAAAGGTGGGGATAAATATGGAAAGAGGAGAAAGAGGTGAGCATTTCTATTATCACCTGACCATTTATTTAACAACAAATAGCAAGAATAAATACATGCTGGATGGACCGAGTGGAGACTAGTCCCCTCGTTGCCTTGTACCCCACAGCCAAAGGTTTATTACTTGAAAGACGCTTTTGGATCCTTGGTATTTGGGAAGGTTTACCTCATCAAAGACGGGTATTGCCATTTGTTATAGGTTACGATGCCTTGTTTAACGATCCTGCGGCCAGTCTGCCTGTACACCCTCGTCCCTTCTCTATTTATTTTTCTTTTTTGGAGGATGATTGGAATACCTTCTCATTTTAACATCCTGAAATCTAGGTGAAGCCTTTGATGTCTTGCTTAGGACTAACAAGAATAAATACATGTTGGATGGATCGAGTGGAGACCAGTCCCCTCATCGCCTCGTACCCCACATCGAAAACTCTTATTTTGTTTTTTTCTTTTTGCTCGCACTTTAAAATGAGCCAAAAGATACTTTTTCATCTTCCGTCGAAATTTAAAATATTATTCAAAATTTTAAAAAATTATACATGAACTATGCTGGAATCTACGTATTGGTATTCGGGTGTTGTAAGAATTTATGGAGCATCGAATTTAAATAAACTAAAGCATGCGAGTTGCAAAATTCAGATTAAGCAAACAAATGAAAAGTAGAAGTCAATACAGACATTTTTGTAAGAAGGGCGAAGGTGAAGAATTTAAGCTCCATTTGTCTCGTGAAAAATAGATGATTCGGAGTTCAACCATAAGAAATGGATGATTCGAAAAGCATCTTCTTAAACCGATCGCTTGTGTCGCCTACGAAAATAACCGAACGAAAAGTATTTCCACGGTACGCAAAAATGTTTAGACACGAGTTGTTGTTGGTGATGAAAACATTCTCCATTGACTAATCACTTCACGCAGTCACTTTTAAAGAGATATTTTTTAAATAATTAAATTTTCACGAAACGAATGAAGGGTCGATTTAGAAGGCGACGCAATCGTTTTTGAAAAGATATTTTTTAAATAATGAATTTTTCGCCGAACGAATGAAGGGTCGATACGGAATGCGTTTTTCTTTCGCCGTATATTGATTCTAACACATGGCATCACTGCATTTCATCTGGAATTTCTTGAGTTGATCTGGAGCTGAAAATGAGGAAATAATTACAAAGATAAAAGATACACTGTGGATGCTCATGCATGTCCGAATTGGAATGATTTGCCCAATTGACTTTAAGGCTTCAAAGCTAAAACATGATTCCCCCATGCTCGACCGGCTTTCGGGCGAAAGTGACTGCTTTGTCTCGTCGTCCTTTCGATGGTAATAATTGTAATATACAAATGCCCCCAAAAGAGCTATTAATTATTGAAGTACATAGATTATGAATTCCATAACACCCAACTTTTTTTTTTTTTGTGAATTTTTTTTTGTTGGGCAGGGCATGTTTGTTTGCCATTAATCAATAGCAAAAGGTGCTTTTTTTTTTAATTTTTTGATAAAATATGAAATATATTCTGAATTTTTAAAAATCACGAAAAATGTTATATTATAATTATTAGAATTAAGAAAAAAAAGTGCATTATTATTAGAATTAAGAAAAAAATTATATATCCTGAACCGCAATATATTGATTAGGTAAAAAGTAAAATATAAAAGTCAATGCGGATATTCTTCTTTTTTCTTTTTTATTTTTTTTTTGGCTAGAAAGTTCGCCTTCAATCCCTTTTACTAAAAAAAAAAACAGGTTCAAGTTACAACCATAAGCCGACCTAAACAGCTATTCTCAACCAATAATCTATGGGCAAAAAAAAAAAAGTATTGAAAAGCGTCGGTTTTCCCATACAATGAACCATTTGAAGGTTCCGTTGGTTCGAATATGCTCTTAAATATTTCAGTAACTGAATTCTCATCGATCGAATGTGAATATATTCATGGGCGCTTTCAGAACATCACACGTGAACGTCTCTTTATTTAAGAAAAGCTAAACTATATACCGTCGCCATAAAGAAAGGGAAAAACAAAACATATTTGAAGCCCTCTCTCTTCCTCTTACCATGGAAACAGTAAAATCACAAACTGGTTTCTGAAAATTTTACTTTTCATAATATTGATAATTACTGCTTCTTTATTTCGTTAAAAGCAGTGGACTGGACAAGAAGAACACGACAGACTGCTACGCAATACAATCGACGCAGCCCCTTTTTGAACGGGGGGGGAATCTGTGGTGGATTTTCTCAAAAAAAAAAACTAAGGGAGTCGGGCGTGTTGGGAACACAATCATTAAAAGGTGTTTTGTTCCGTTAATACAATATTTCTAGTGGAGGCAAAGCACTCTTCCTTTTTTCTTTTCTCTTTTCTCTTTTCTTTTTTCGCCGAACTCTTCTTGGCCTATGGCATGATTCTTCTTGTCACTTTATGGGAATTTTTTTTTTTTTTGGGTCGAGACACTTTATAGAATTATTGAGCATCTATAATTTCGGCGAGCATGTCCGGTGAGGGTGAGATTATATTCCCTGAATTGGGCATTTGAGATTGTTTTTTTTTTCCTATTCACGTGCGACTTCGCATGAATAGAATCAGGGGAACGAATTTTCGGGACGAAACTGCCTCCGCCCAATGGCCGGAAATCGGCATGCAACCCTCTCGACGTCGCCGGACGGGGGGTTTTCAGCACCGGTGATGTTCCGGGGGGTCAATTGGAACACTGTGATTTATTTTGTGGGTATTTTTAAAATAAGTCTTGCTCTAGAGGGCTTTTGAGAAAAAAAAACATGCATCCAAATAAGGGGTTTTTGGGATTTCCATTTTAGAGATTAAGGGTGAGCATGGTTCGAGTGAGTAGTTCCCACCATTCCAGAAAATTGGAAGCAGGAACCGCCCATTGATTCCATAGATCCACTCGAGAACCGGATCGCTAGTCGGGTTCGATTGCCGAGTGAGTCCATAGAACCCATCTCTATTCCCTAAAAAATTGCATTCATCAATCAATACTATGGTAATGTTAGTTTATGTGGGTACTTCTTTGCAAGGGAAAATGTAAGAATAATAAAGAAATCTGCACTAGGGTCGTGCTTGTGATTTTAGGATGAATGCTCCCATTTGGATATTTGGTTCCATCCATTGCTTATCATTTGATAGAAAATCAAATAGACTTTGAAAAACCATTTATTTTAGCTTAAATCTATCATTACAGTTTCAAATGTTATACATATTCTTGCTTCAAATATCAGATCGAGTCAACAAAAATAGAATATACACATCAATGCGCAGTAGTTGCGACTAGATGTTCTTAGAGATGCATTTGTGAGTAAGTGGCGGGGGAGAAAAATAGAGAGAGACTCACATTGAGAAAAGCAGCATCCAAGTAGGAGACAATAATCTCAATGGAGACATCCGTGAGGGAGGCGAGAAAGATTCACTTTCACCGAAAAGTGAGCTGGAATTGTTCTAAAAATAACACACACACACACCGATCGGAGCCTAGAATTGGACTAGTACTTACCAGTTCCAGTAAATTGGAATTGGGAATCGCCAATTCTGGGCCGGTCCGGTTCGATTCCGGGCGGTTCTCGGTTTGTTTGCACACCCTTACTAGAGATGATGCAAACTAACAGAGTTTATCAAGCAAACTAGAATCCATATAGTTAACGATTGAGATGACTTTAGTCCGCACTATCTAAAACATCATGGCACATATTTTTCCCACGAGACTTTGGACAAGAGGCACATATGATGTAAACCGTTTGATCTATACAAGATTTTTGAACTAAGACAGGAGTTTATCATAAAACCTAATATTTGTCCGCGCGAAGTTGTTTCAATGAAGGAATTTAAGTCGTTGCGGGATATAGGAAACAATTCAAATTCTCAGAATCCTTTTCTAGGACTAATTATATTGTTTCATCCACTGTTTTAATAAATTATAGTAATTGTATATACTGTCATATATAGCAAAGAGAGCCTCATTAATTTTAAGGGATCTCAATCATTTTTTCTTCTTCAAAATTCTCAATTTATTTCTCAAATGTTTGAGTTTTTTTATATTCTAAAACAACCTTCTTAACAGAATTTCCAATCTTTAATATGATAAATTTTTTATTTTTAAAAAATTAATTTTATCGTTATGTTCATTGGCGGCGTAAAAAATTAGTTTACGCACTGATCGCTCATTGCACCTCGGGCCCGATAGGCACTCCACTGGACCCATATCTCGTCGGGCCGACAACCCGGCCCGATAGGCGCTCCACTGGACCAATATGTTATCGGGCCGACAAGCCCGGTCCGAACTTAAATGTTAATCATCAAACCCTTTGCAAGAAAGAATCACGAAGGGTAGTTTGATCGAACGGCCAGGATTGATTCGGACTCCCCCACGCTTGCGAACCCTAGACATATATAACAGACGTTCAGCGCCGATCCTCTCTCCGAACTCTCAGTCGGCCATAACCAGAGCTTTTGGAAGGGTAGGCGCGCCGCCGCACATCGTTCCTCTCGCCTCGTGCCCCGTAAAGCTTCTTCGCCGGAGCGAAGATGAAGGTGGTCGCCGCGTACTTGCTGGCCGTCTTGGGAGGCAACACCTGCCCAACGGCCGACGATTTGAAGGACATCCTCGGATCAGGTCCTCTCTCTCAGTCTGTCTCTCGATTTAGTTCGGGTTTCCCTCTTTTGATGATGGCTCTGGATGTGGCGGTGGTGGTGGTTCAGTAGTTTTGAGGCTCTCTTGCATCGATTGACTTAGGAACCAAGTTAGCTGATGTACATGTTAAGGCGGAATAGCTGACCATTCAAACGTATGTCGGTTTGTATTCTTGATGTTGCGTTGCCTGTTACCGTGACCGGAGCGAGGGATTGTGAAAAGTTGCGTCCGCTCGCAAGTACTGATTGCTTGATGCGTATCTCTGGTCAAGGATGTTCGCACCGGGGCTTAAGATTTATGTCGAATGTACTGTGCTCGTTCTGCGCCGGCTTCGGCTGATGTGATTTTTGATTCGCTCTTCGGATGGCTCCAACAATCAGTTTAATCAATTCTGTTTGGGAATTGAAAATGCGGATTCTGCCTTTTTGATTGCTGTGTCGGGATGGTTTTTATTGTCATGGTGGATGTGGGTTACAGAAATGACCAGGAGTTGATCTGTAGTTTATGCTTTTCGTGTACTGATTTACCCTCATCATGTGTCGGGAAAAGGTTTTTAATGCTTGTTGCAACGTCGATTTGCAATTTAGTGGACCTGCTCGTATAAGTAGTTGCTGGTCATCATTCTGTGGAGTTAGTAGACTATAAGTTTCTACTAGAAAGAAATGAGAATTTTCGGTCTTTAATGGAGTCGAGTGAGATGAAGGAGTTCTTGGTGGACAATAAGTTTCTAAGTGTACGTTTGTTTCGCGGAAAATGAATGATTGCTCGCAGCGCTTACAAGAATAAAACGACCAAAAGTATTTTTATTGTCCACGAAAATATTTAGACATAGTTTGTTGTCGATAACGAAAGTATTTCTCATTGACTAATTATTTCAAGAGATATAAGTAACCATTTGTAGGAAAATGTTTTCCTAATGATTCGTTTTTTGAGAAATAAACGGAGCCTGAGATGTTCCTAGAATTATGGCCCTCTCGAGGGAGTGCAGTTCGCTGATTTACTGAAGGATCGCCTTGTGATTTTGACAGTTGGAGCTGAGGCCGATGATGACAGGATAGAGTTGCTCTTGTCCGAAGTCAAGGGAAAAGACATCACTGAGCTGATTGCTGCCGGAAGGGAAAAGTTGGCCTCCGTGCCCTCCGGTGGCGGTGGTGGTGCTGTGGCCGTGGCTGCAGCTCCAGCGGGCGGTGCTGGTGGTGGCGCTGCTCCGGCTGCCGAGGCCAAGAAGGAGGAGAAGGTCGAGGAGAAGGAAGAGTCCGACGATGTAAGCGCCATCCCTCGGCTCTCTGGTCTTTTCAGCATTTGTTTTGTGCGGACGACTTCGTCTTTCAGTTTCTGTTTAATTCAACCTAACCCGGACCCTCGCCATTGCTGCAGGATATGGGCTTCAGTCTCTTCGACTAAGGCAACGGATGCCGATTTTTGCTTACAAAAGGAGTGTCGTGGATATAGTCGCAATTGTGTGGTCTCTCCCAAGTCTCTAATAGTTGGCAGTTGTTCTTGGTTTTGTTACCGTTGGGACTCCTTGAAGTATTTTTTTCGCTTACCTAATGAGATGTTTTCGGATGCGGGATTAATTTTTTCCCTGAGATTCTTCTGTTTAGGATTCCCTCTTGATTATATGGGGCTTGTCCTGATTCGGTTCGGTTTTTACATTGCGCGGCGCTGCAAAGACTACAACGCTAGTCGTGCGACCCGGGGTTTTCGAACCTGTGACGACCGCAGCGGGTTCTCTGATCATTAATCTGATCAGAGGTGATTTCAAGATATAGGATCATGTCCTGTTCAGTGTGATGCTCAAATCGCGGAATTACTGTTATAGATCGTTGTTCGAATAAGTAAAGTGTCTCGAAGATCAATTGAAAGATCTTACTAAGAGCTGCAAGTGTTTCGCGTTCGATCTTGAATTGACCTTCGTTTATCCAAAACCATTTCCCCAAGTACTATTGGTGAAGGTGTGAAAGTGCATTTGGTGAAAATAAGTAGTGTTTGGAAAACTCATTATTGTGTATGCTTTTATAAAGCAACGATGAAATGAAAAAAAGAAAGGAAAGAAAAGGAGAACAAAAGGCAGACATGTCACACGGGCAAGCATTGACAGAGAAGACAGGGACAGCGAGAACTTTGCCGGCGGCAACCACAGGCGAACATCGGCAGCGACAGAGGCAACCGTCGGCCAGATGAGCTTCGATCGGCGATCCATGTCGGAGCAGATCTTGTCTACTGAAGCTGAGCAAAACTCAAGTGAGTTGCGCCTGAGTCGCTTGGGAAAATTACCAAAAAAGTCATAAACCTTTTGCGGGAAAAGTACCAAAAAAGTCCTAAACTTTTTGCAATAGTGCTAATTTAGTTATAACCTTTTTTTGGTGTCAATTCAGTCATAAACCTTTTGCATTGGTGCCAATTTAGTCCTAAACCTTTTTTTTGTACCAATTAAGTCCTAAACCTTTTAAATTGGTGCCAATTCAGTCCTAAACCTTTTGTTTTTGTGTCAATTTAGTCCTTCCGATCAATTTTGACGGGAATTTGCCGACGTGGACGCCTGCCGGCCGGTCACCGGCGCCGACGTGGACAACTTTAATAATATTTTAATATTTTTTTTGAATTTTTTTTTTCCTTTTTTTTTTGTCTCCCACCTTCCTCTGGCCGGTGAGCTCGACCTTGCTGACCACTGGCGAGGGCGGCGGCCTCGCTCAGCGAGGGCGAGCCTCGCCTTAGTCGGGCGAGGCTCGACCTCGCCAGATCCGGCGAGGTCGGGCCTTGCCGCGGCCTCCGACGAGGGCTCGAGCCTCGCCATGGTCGGGCGAGGCCCGACCTAGCCGGATCTAGCGAGGTCGAGCGTCGGAGGCCGCGGCGAGGCCCGACCTCGCCGGATCTGGCGAGGTCGAGCCTCGCCCGACCAAGGCGAGGCTCGCCCTTGCCGGGCGAGGCCGCCGCCCTCGCCAGTGGTCGGCGAGGTCGAGCTCGCCCTGACCATGGGGAGGTCGACCTCACCCGGCGACGACGAGGCTCGCCCTCGCCAGTGCCGGCGACGGCCAACCTCACCTAGGGCTGGCGAGGTCAAACTCGCCGGCCTCAGCCTCTCGCCGGACCGGCGACCGGGGAAGAAGATAGGGGAAAAAAAATAAAAAGAGAAAAAAAATTCGAAAAATGATAAAAAAATTATTAAAATATTGTCACGTCAACCGGCCAGCGCCGGCCGGCGTCCACGTCAGCATCGGCCAGCCAAAAGTGGCCGAATGGACTGAATTGGCACAATTGCAAAAGGTTTAGGACTGAATTGGCAAAAAAAAAAGGTTTAGGACTGAATTGGCACAATTGCAAAAGGTTTAGGACTTTTTTTGTAATTTTCCCGAGTCGCCTTGCTCGGAGTCGTGCAACCCAGGCGCCCCGACCTAGCGTCGCAACGTCTGGGTCGCAGACTATTAACACTTAGATCTAAAGTCTTGCGACCAGCCCCGATCTCTCCTCAATCTGACCTTCAAGCGTCGGCCGAACCTCAGGCGAGCCTCATCTGAACTCCGACGTCACGCGAGTGGGGTGGTAGATTTGGACTCCGACGTTGCACAAGCCAGGAGACGAGTAATTGAGGCCGCACGACCACGGCAGCATGACATCGGCGTCACGCGACCCCTTGCTGGCGTCTGTCCATCTCCTCCACCTTTGTGAACTCCCATATTTGCATGGAAAAGATGAACAGTTGCGAGGGCAAAAATTGAAATAATCAGTGCGGGCAATTTGGGAACAAAAAAAGTTCATTTACCTTGGAACATCCCTTCCGAAACATTTCCCCAAAGTAGCCAAAAAGAAATAGCCAAATACCTAAACTTTTTTCCCAAGGAGCCTTGTCAACACTTGAATCCTCGATGTAAATCCATGAACAAAATTCACGTAGATAAACCCCTGACGGCGCTTCAACACCTTCGTAAAAAGGCATCCCCTGACTTATATCTACACCGACACGTTTATTGTAACCGATTCGCATGTAAATGAAATAAAGTTTTTTTTTTAACTTACGAGGAAATTTAGATATCGTGCATCTACTATTTCATTCAATTTCACAAGGCGAATCGTGAAATGGAACTTATGACTTCTCATGAGTTCTTTTTCTTTTGGGACTTGTCCTGAGTTTGACTTTAGTGTGAAAAAAACGAAGAACAGCGCAGCCGAATATCTCAAGTTCCATGGCCCGACCCGAAAGTCGTGTAAGCAAAATTAATTAATACGATTTAAAATCGGTGAGCTTGGACCGCAAGCGCTTGCAATAAGGGCTAAAGGCCATCTCGGGCCAATCAATGGACTGAGCATATACTATCCAAACAGACAAAAACACACATACAATTACAAGGTTCGTATCCCTGAATAGTAAAATTAATTAGTCGGCGTTGACGTTTGATAAATATATATAGGTTCATGTTAACGAGCGCCTACTTTACGGTCTCTAATATAGCGATTACCCTGGTGTTATGCACATTCAGTGCCTTGAGAAAACCAAATTATTCAAAATTAAGTATACTTAACAAGGGCTCCAGAGTCGCTCGTCAACGTGACCTTATCACGTGTTTTGTTTTTCGAGGCCGGTCTTAAAAGAGAAATTACCATGTTAATCTCACCGTGGATGTGAGGTGGTTGATTAGTTAGATTATTTGTCTTCTTCTACAACAAGATTCTGATATATCAAAATCAGCATTTTGTCTTGATCCAAATTCCAATTCCCACTGATATATTGTGTAACCTACCTTGTCATTTTCCTCTTTTTTTCTCCTTTTGTGTGATTTGAATTTGATCACTTTATATTGTGCAGCGCTTCTCGTTTTAGTGATTTCTATATTTCATTATTTAGAACGATTAAGGAAGAAAGAAATATACTCTATAGACAACAGATACTTGAACCTCTCCAACAGAAACTCGGTTTGATTTTGTTAATCCGTCTACATCACTGCTAGTCAAATAGCCAACTATAATCGAATGATTGATACGCACTATTATCCGAATAATTCTTGCATGATCCCGAGACTCATATGCACCGTTGACAATGTGGGCCTCACATGAGACCCAGATGATCCCATAATGCACGTGAATTGAGCTTTCATGGACCGCCATGCAAGTACGTCTCCTTCTATCGGTTGGTTGTCCTCGCCAACATCACCACTGTAGTTGCCCCTCGACCGATGTCGATGCAAAGATACTTAGTCGATTTCTATCTTCGTCCTCTTCTTTACTTGCAACCTGTTGTTTTTTATCCCTTTTTTCCTATAGTCTTCGAGTTCTCGACAAAAATTTTGGGAGAGAACATTGAAAGGTATCCAATAGTGGAGCTGATCATAAGCTTGACAGTCCGCTAAGCTCGCTCTTAGTTTAGCCTGTCTAGGCCCAATCATCTTACAAGAAAAATTACAAAAAGATACCCCCCGCCCCCGAGGTATGCTTTCGTAAATTTTTTTAAAGAGAATTGAATAATATTTTTACATTACGGACCGGCTTAGTCAAGCACTTTTAGACCAAGATAATTATTCAAAATCAATTGTATAGCGATCAATTCAGTCCTACACTTTTCAATTTGTCCAATTTAGTTATAAACCTTTTGAAGATTTATCAATATAGTCATTCTAATTAATTTTGGCCACAAATCGCTAACGTGGCACGGCGTGCTCATGTGGATGATTTTTCTAATTTTTTTTCCTATTTTTCTATGTCAGTCAGTAAGGCCTTGGCAATAGCCAGCGAAGGTCGCTGGCTACAAGTGAGGGCGGTCCTTGCCTAGTCCAGCGAGGGCGACCCTCGCGTGTGGCCGATCATCAGCAAAGGGAAATAGGGTAAAAAAAAAGAAAAGAAAAGGAAAAATAAGAAAATAAAAATTTTGAAAATTTTGAAAATATTGTAAAAATGGTCAACGTTAGTAGGAGTAAGCACAAGTCCAATTTTAAACGTTCTTAAATTTTGGAACCAATGATAATCAGTTTTGTTTCCGATTTTAGGTGCGGACCGAATCGCCCGGACCGGACTGATAGTTTTTCTCTTTTTTACGGGTCTTATTATTACAATTCCCAAAAGATGATTGGGGGCAAAAGTCTCAAAACCCAGAAAAAAGCAACGTTCATTTGGATATCCATGAGTTTATAGGAAATAAACTCAGGACCTTGTTATGCTTGCGCAACTATTTCCTTTTGTAAAGGCTTACTTCAGGTCATATGTTGTGTTATGACGATCATTTTGCTGAGGTTTACTTCCAACAAGTGTGAAACATGTTGCATAGGCAGGATAACTACTTCGAGGATGACAACTTCCATAAAGCAAGACACACTTGCAGCATTGCAGGGAATAGAAGGAAAAAAAAACAATTATCTGCTGGTTCTTAGACCACCCAGGAATTGGATTGGACAGGTCGATCCAGTTCCATGACTAGGTGGGCTGTTCCCGGTTCCACAAATCTGGAACCGACCAGTTCTAGGTTTCAAGGTGAGAACCGACCTACCTTGAAACCAATCACCCTTAAATGTTAGTGTCGGTCGCGCCACGATGATCATTGACGTTGGCTGGATTGCTATGTTAGCAATTTCTAGCAGAAGAAGAACGACATTGGCAAATTGTCAAATATAAATTGGCCAAATTAAAAAGTTTATAACTGAATTGATTGCCGTATAATATAATTATAAATTTTTGCACAATTTTCTTTTCTTAAACCTATTATTGAGTTTGACTAGCTTATTGATCAGCTTTACCAAACGAGTCAAGTCGATGAAGTGACTCGAATTTTCAAAACTTTTTCAAGCAATAATGTGAGCATGGACAAGCATCAAAGTTGGAAAATATGTGCCCTGATAACATGTGCCGTTGAGTTATATTACTTAACTAACGAAACAGTTTACGGTAACAAGGACAACCTAAGCCACCAACTAGTAAATGTTGCAATTTTCTTATCATATGGTCTCTAATTTCAAAACTCCTGCAGTATTTCACTTCCTTAGAACAACCGCTCCCATATATCTATTCCTAAACAAGCAAAGGCCGGTGATGTCCGTCAAATCCTGTCTTCTACAACTGCCATTTCAATTAGAAAAAACTGAGAACAAAATGATTTTTATTTTGAATTTTGATGGTAATTATGTTACCGAATCTTTGGACTGCAAAATTTCATGGTACCATTAAAGTAGATAAATTAATTTTTTAATTAAGGGCCTCTTTTTTTTGTTCGAATTATTGAAGGGTCCTTGACAAAAGCAAAGAAACGTGCACAGATTCCACACAAGGGAAGTTCCCAAGGTCATACCCTAGAGCTCTGAGCTCGATGCGTTGCACTGTTTTCTTCTTTATCTTCACTTGTGTTCGTACATCATTTAGCCTATGCGATTTTCTTATGTAAACTGCACGAAATCCCAGCATTTTCTTCTCCCGTTTCTTAAATAATTTTGCTTGTGTCATAGTTAAGTAATGCTCCTGGGAAAACAGAGGGGTAGGTCATGTCAGTACACACACACTGGCTGAAGAAGATAAAAAGTCTCGTTTGCTCACACGACTTGCCTTGAAACTGGGGACAAACTCAGCTATTAACTTAGCCTCATGACACGATTCAAATTTAATGTTCTTGAACTTCTTTCGTGGTCATTTCCTAGGGATGAGCCATTTGAGAAGTGATGGGAAAGGTCTTGCAGAATAAGAATTCAAATCTAGGGTATTGCTGCTCAGAGGATATACAGATCCATGCTTACTGACCACTATATTTCATGAGAAATACAGTTTCTATAAATGAAGTTTTACCTGTGTGTAAAAACCATATTGTGGGGCGTTCACAAAATTCATTGATGAATATGCATAACAAGAACCAGAAATTATTTCAAATAATTGGTGGAGAAATGGGCTCTTACCTTACCATATGTGCTGTATTCACAGTTCATTGTGTTCTAGATAAAAGCTGACAGATATCTAGTAAGTCGTAAAGCGAGTCACAATTTGGGATGCTTTTTTGCTTAGATAATGATTTTGGCCATGCCTAATTGCACGGGAAATGAGAAAAGCTCAAAAGCAAGGCGTGGCTTGTAATCATAATAGTAATCTGTGGTAATAAAAGGACCAAAAAGGAAAAGCAGAAGAAAAGCACTTTGAACAGCAATACATCCAAGCCAAAGATTTAACAGGATTCTGCAAAAAGCTTAAACAGCTTAATGGGTAAGAATTAATATCTCATCGTTTTCTGCAATTTTGTTCATTTGAAAAGTAGTTTTGGCTCATTGGGTCGTGGAATTTGATTCTCATTTAACGTCGGAAGTACGATAATTAAGATGGGTCGTCTCCAATAAGATTAAAAACCTCTAAGTGGAAACAGAATCTTCAAGCTGTGACATAGGGACTCATATGGAGTAAATGTGACTGGCCTTCAAACTTCAAAGGCGAGACCTGTATTCAAAAAGAAGAAAAAGACCTAACAGACAGTGGTTGAGGAAAACAATGCACGAACACATGGTGCCTAATGCTAATGAGTAATGCCAGCAAGAGCTATGGTGCAATAGTTTAATCTTTAAGAGGAAAAGAGTAAAACCTACAGCAAGAATTGCAGAACCTCGAGGCAAGCGATTTTTTTAACTTGTCCATTATTTTGACCCCTTTTCTTTTTAATCATCTCTTCTTTTCTTGCTTGCCCTAAAAGTAACTGTGGCCGTGGTGTCACTAAATAATGCAGTACCAAGACGAGGGTTTCAAGAGACACGTTAGAGCGTGCGTGAGAGAGAGGTGAGAGAGACCCAATGCAAAACCAAGAAGAGCCATATTTGGGGATTTTGAGGAGATAAGCTTCGGCAAAGCCGATGCCGAGGTGAGCCTTGAACCCCTACAACGACCTCCGCCCGATGTTGAGGCAGTGTTTCGCCACCCGAAGCCGCCTCTTCCTCCGCCACCGCAGCTATTATCATATGTTTAAACTCCTCCTCCTCCCCCTCCTCCTCCTCCTCCCAATACTTTTCTCCACCTTTGCTTGGGCTTCAAACAACAGTGAAGCCCTCACGCTGTATTCATGGCTTCGCTCCTCCCGCGCGCCGCCTCCCGCCGCCCTGGCGAGCTGGAACAACCCGTCGGATGCCGACCCGTGCGGTTGGTCCTACGTCACCTGCTCGCCGCAGAACTTCGTGACCGAGATCAACATCGAGTCCGTCGACCTCGCGCTCCCCTTCCCTTCGAACCTTTCCTCGCTCCCTTTCCTCCGGAAGCTCGTCATATCCGGCGCTAACCTCACTGGCTCGATACCGCCGGATATCGGGGACTGCGCCGAACTGGCCACTCTCGACGTCAGCTCGAATAGCCTCGTGGGAAGCATGCCCCCGAGCATCGGAAGGCTCCGGAATCTTCAGGATTTGATCTTGAACTCTAACCAGCTCGCCGGGGAGATTCCTGCAGAGATTGGCAACTGCACTAGTCTCATGAATCTTGTAGTTTTCGATAACTATTTGAGCGGAGATATTCCAGTTGAAGTCGGAAAGTTGTCGAAGTTGGAAGTTTTGCGGGCCGGAGGAAACAAGGACATTGCAGGGAACATCCCAGACGAGATGGGCGAGTGCCTCAACCTGAAGGTGCTGGGTTTAGCGGACACTAAGGTTTCAGGATCGATCCCGGCTTCGGTGGGCAAACTGAGCCAGCTTGAGACGCTGTCAGTGTACACTACTATGCTGTCCGGCGAGATTCCCCCAGAAATAGGCAACTGCTCAGAGCTCGTCGAGTTGTTCCTCTATGAGAATGACCTGTCGGGTTCGCTACCAGCTACGTTAGGCAAGCTTAGGAAGTTGGAGAAGCTGTTGCTCTGGCAAAACAGCTTCCATGGGACGATCCCGGAGCAGATTGGCGGGTGTGAAAGCTTGGTGATAATGGACATCTCGTTGAACTCATTTTCTGGAAGCATACCCTGGTCTTTGGGGAAACTCTCTTATCTTGAAGAGCTCATGCTGAGTAATAACAACATAACGGGTTCGATCCCAGTTTCGCTGTCAAATGCTACTAATCTTGTGCAGCTTCAGCTGGACACGAACCAAATATCGGGTCCAATACCGAGAGAAATTGGGAAGTTGACGAAGCTGACAGTTTTCTTCGCCTGGCAGAACAGCCTCGAGGAAAGCATCCCTTCAACATTGGCCGATTGCAAGAGCCTCGAAGTTCTTGATTTGTCCCATAATGCACTCACCGGTAGCCTACCTCCAGAGCTATTTCAGCTTCAGAATCTGACCAAGATTCTCCTGATTTCAAATGACATTTCAGGCTCCCTCCCTCCAGAGATTGGTAATTGCGGCTCTCTCATTAGGTTTCGCCTGGCGAGCAATAAGGTTGGCGGACAAATCCCAAAAGAAGTTGGGTTCCTAAATAACCTCAGCTTTCTCGACTTGTCCGATAACCATTTCACGGGGTCGATACCTGAAGAAATCGGAAACTGTACTGCTCTGCAGATGCTTAACCTTAGCAACAACAGCCTTGGCGGCGCTTTGCCGAACTCTCTGTCTTCCCTGACAAAGCTCCAGGTGCTTGATGTCTCCCTGAATAGACTCACGGCTCAGATTCCACCAAGCTTCGGTCAGCTTTCTTCGCTCAGTAGTCTCGTTCTTCAGCAAAACTCGCTCTCTGGGCCGATCCCCTCCTGGCTGAAAGGGTGTTCGAATCTCCAATTGCTCGACCTCAGTGGCAATGGCTTCTCGGGAATGATACCTGTCGAGCTGTTCCAGATCAAATCTCTTGAGATCGCTTTGAACTTGAGCTGGAATTCGCTGTCAGGAATGATACCGCCCGAAATATCTGGTCTGAACAAGCTCTCCGTTCTTGACCTCTCGCACAATTGGCTCGGGGGCAACTTGTTGGTACTTTCTGGGCTGGAAAACCTTGTGTCGCTGAACATCTCATACAACAACTTCACTGGTTATCTCCCGGACACGAAGCTCTTCCGACAATTATCATCAACTGATTTGGCTGGAAACACGGGATTGTGTCCTAGAGGTAGAGAAGCATGTTTTCTAGGTGATGCAACAGCGCTGTCCTTGCATAATAGGCGGACTTCCAAGCAGTCGGTGATGATCAAACTGGCCATCGCATTGCTCAGCACCTTAATTGTCGCATTAGCAGTGTTTGGGGTGTTTGCAGTGATAAGAGTGCAAAAGATCGGTCGGAGTGACAATGACTCTGAGATGGGAGGGGATAAATTGCCCTGGCAATTCACTCCATTCCAGAAACTGAACTTTTCGGTTGAGCAAGTCCTCAAGTGCCTGGTTGAAGAAAACGTCGTCGGAAAGGGATGTTCGGGGATAGTCTATCGCGCGCAGTTGGAAAATGGGGAAGTGGTCGCAGTGAAGAAGCTCTGGCCGATGACTCTCGCGGCAGGATACAATTGTTGTCCAGACAAAGTAGGCACCGAAGTGGGTGTTCGGGACTCGTTTTCTGCAGAAGTCCGGACTCTCGGCATGATCCGGCACAAGAACATCGTAAGGTTCTTAGGTTGCTGTTGGAATCGGAGCACGAGGCTTCTTCTGTATGATTACATGCCGAACGGGAACTTGGGCAGCCTCCTACACGAACGGAGTGGCAATTGCTTGGAGTGGGACGTCAGGTACCGAATCGTCCTAGAGGCGGCTCAGGGCCTGGCCTATCTGCACCACGATTGCGTCCCGCCAATTGTGCACAGAGACATTAAGGCAAACAACATTCTGATCGGTCCCGAATTTGAACCTTACATCGCTGATTTTGGGCTTGCCAAGCTGGTAGGTGACGGGAATTTTGCTCGGTCTTCTACCACTGTCGCCGGCTCCTTCGGTTATATCGCCCCAGGTAAGTTGAAGAATCAAAATAACCGAGTCTAGCTTTGATTATTTCTTTTCATAGTAACAGCATCTATTGCACGACAAATTACAACTGGCGAGGAAGATAGTAAATTCGGGTCATAACAAGTATTAGAAGAGGTAACTGGTTTATGAGAGTCATCAGTATAAGTACAGATTTCTCGAGCTTAGGCAATGTTAATCCTACAGCTCGATGACCCGAATTTAGTGTAGATAGAGCCATGGCAGTAGAAGATGTAAAATGCCCTTGTGCTTGAAAATTGCTCTTCACAAGGTTACATTCCGAAATATGCTCACTTTAATTGTGTTCACGCTCTGCAGAGTACGGGTACATGATGAAGATAACAGAGAAGAGCGATGTGTACAGCTTCGGGATCGTAATGCTGGAAGTGCTGACGGGGAAGCAGCCGATCGACCCGACAATACCCGAGGGCCTCCACATCGTGGACTGGGTGAGGCAGAGGAGAGGGGGAGCCGTGGTGCTCGATGCGAGCCTGAGGGCCCGGCCCCAGCCCGAGATTGACGAGATGCTGCAGACGCTGGGGGTGGCGATGCTGTGCGTCAACGCGAGCCCGACCGACCGGCCGACAATGAAGGACGTGGCAGCTTTGATAGGGGAGATAAGGCAGGGGAGAGAGGAGAGCATGAAGGTGGACAACATGCTCAGGAATCATCACGGGACTTCAACTGTGAAGGGACGTGATGATGAAGACAACGGCGATGGTTCAAGGAAGAGACCGGTGACAATGAGGCAACAAGAAGCGTACGCCAGGAGCAGCAACACCGCTAGCTTCTCTGCTTCATCGCTCCTGTACTCCTCATCATCTCATGGGCACACATTATTTAAGTAGTCGAAAGTGAAAAACAGTTCTCAGTTTCATCAAAACAGAGAGGGAGGGAGAGAGAGAGAGAGAGAGAGCAGAATTTGTTCCTGTAGAATTGGAGAGTTTCTTTCAAGATATGGTTTTTTTTGCATGATCATGATCGATTGTTACGGAGCATTGTTGTGCAGAATATAGGAATAATCTGGGCTTAAACCATTAGCTTTAACGTTGCAAGTTATTTCAACAATTCGGTGTGCTGTCTCCCTCTCCTCTTGCGTTGCCATGCACAGCTGCAAAATGGTCTGCTGACCTTATTTCTTGCTAATCAAACTCACCGGTTTCTGATTCACCAGGAAATTGATGATGGTGTGCCAAATCTGCAGAACCCCATTTTCTAGATGGGCCAGTTAAGCCTAAAAGGGACCTCTTCATAGGCCGGGTCGGTGCCTCGATCCATGCAGGCCCGCCCAACGCGAAGGGTAATCGAACGGACGAGCTTGAGTGACATGATTAAGGTCGATCCCGAGTTCGCCTCGAGGTCTGTCCCCGTCCATCGGAGCGGGTTTCGGGGGGAAATAAGAGTACTCATCTTACATATGTCTCCTGGTTTTGACCTGATTCTAATTAGACTTGGAAGTCTTGGAGGCACATCGAGTTGACTAAAAAGTCAAGACAACTTGTAATCTCGTTCCCCTCTCTCTCTCTCTTCCAAATTAAACAACCCGAGTCCTCCAATCGCAGCTCATACTGAGCTGGATCCGGCCCGGCCCAAAATTGATTCGATGTGAACAAACGGCCCAATTCGTGCAAATGCTCCAAAATGCGTGAAACAATGGGCCAAGTTCATGTAGGTTGAGCTACTACATGATCAATATTTGATCATTCGCTAGTTCAGTAACACCTATATACATTGTATTTTACCTTTATTTTCTTGTTATAGCTCGAGAATGAGCTTATGTAACTTCAATTGAAAGTTGCTCTTTGTATTATCATCTCAACCGTTGTTGGATCATGTGACTTCCGCCGTTGAGATCAACTTATTATATACTAAGCATACCTCCTATATTATTTAGGACCCACCAATCTCGATTCCTATGTATCATAGAGGTGTGCAAAATGGACTGTTTGGACCGGACCAGACCGGCCAGTGTGGTCTGATTCTTGGAAGTGTCGGTCCTATTCCCGGTTCCAAAGGAGGACTGGATCGGACCGACTACATATATATTTTAATTTTTATTTCTTAAAAAAAATAGTAAAATATGAACTAAACCCACTTACAACATTTTTCCTTTATTGTTGCATTACATTGACTCTTCACTCATCTGTCAATATGTTCGCTTCTGTCATTATGTTAAGATTTGTTTCTATCAATATGTTAATATAAAAAATTGAATGGTTCCATTGAACCGGACGACCCGGTCCTCAAAATTGGGAACCGGTCCTCCCGGTCCGGTTTCCGATTCCAAGGTGGAACCGGACCAGTGAAATAGGGAACCGATCACCCCTAATGTAACATTCTTTACAATAAAATATTTCGAGCGTGACGCGTGACCCTTTCGAACAACCAAAGACACGTTACTTAACTTAATACAACAAAACAAGAGAAACCTATGGCTCTTTTATTCGACATTCTCTTTAATATTAGAGTACAACGACATACGACGACGAGAACGACGGCGATGGAGAAAGGCACGAGACCCCCGCGTTTTTCCCATCAAAACACAGCACGCACCTTCTCAAACCCTAAAATGTCACCACTCTTTTTTTTTTCCTCACAAAGAAAAAGGAAACAAAAGGAAAAAGAAAAGGAAAAGAAAAGAGCTTCAATAGTAACTCCTCACGCTCACGCACCGAAACCAAAGCGTCGCCCTCCTCTCTCTCTCTCTCTGCATGCAATTAGTCGGCCTTTCTGCACCACCTTCTGCAGACAATCCACGACCGTACGATCGCGCCCAACAGCCCCTACCCCCCAGAAGATCAGAGCCCTCCATTTTTCGACCAAGCCTCGTGCATGGAGGACAGACGGACAGACAGAGAGAGAGTCAAAGGAGGTTTTTTTTTGGTCTTGTTTCTTGTTAATTACTTATATATATATAAAACGCTCTGGTTTTGCTTGAGGCCTACTTCTTATGCGAAGAGCACGCATGCACGTTTCTCTGCGGCTTCTCGGGCCTCTTGTGAGCCTCCAGCTTCGTCCCCTCCGGTTGCCGTACCTTCACTCCTCGTATCATCTGAATAAAAGAACACGCGCGTACGTCAGATCAGTCAAATTCAGTTTCGTCGGCAATATGAACTGAATCCATGCGAAACGACGCAAGTTGAAGAACGTATGAAACGAAGCACGAGTGCAGAAAGACAAATGCCCTACGTATTTGCCGCATTTGACGTCCGAATATATGACTATGAAGTCTCCTTCCTCGAGCCCATTTGCTCGCACAAAATCTCCTGCAAGAATGCAAAGAACAAAGAAAAGAATTCGTCGGAGCGCTCTACAAACACAGAACAAATCTTGGAAAAACCACGAGATCGACAAACAATGAGCGAGAAACATTTGATTGGACGCGTGACACTGTGTTAGCAGTGCGTCATATGTATTAGGTGTTGTACACTAAAATTTTGTAGCTTACAATAAAAATAGACCAAAAAAACTCACCTGTGTTTTCGAGGAGATACATCCTGCTTTTGTTGTTTGGCCAGAATCTGGAAAAAATATAAGGGAACAGAAATGAAGACCATACAAGCGTGACATGTCACAGTCAAATCCGAAGGTAATGTTGAATCTTAGAGAAGGCGAAAAACTGAAAAAGAGAAAAGAAACCTGTAACGCATGTTCCAGACTTTGGAGGTCCCAATGTCTTCCATGGGTATGGAGATCCCGTCCCTTGCCTCCAGCTCCGGCAGGTGGGTCTCGGCTTCTTTCTGATCAATTTATATCAATATCGTGAACAGCGTTATTTTCCTCATTAATCACTGATAAATCAATCACCAGCTAAAAAAATTGTCATTGATAGTACTATGTACAATAACAAATTTTTTTTAAAAACAAACACAAGAAGAGTGCACTTCAATCTCTCAAAGCAAGAGCAAAAAAAAAAATCTCTCAGAAGGGAATCGTTGTGTCTACCTTTGGCAAAACAATCCGGCCTAGATTCCCCACATCGCTCTGTTTCAACACTTTCTGAAGAAGAAACTTCAGATTGTTCTCTGGCTTCCAACCCTAACAAAAAATGCATAATTTTCTTGTTCATCAACTTCTAAGATTAATTAATCTAGCAAAAATGACCCATCAAATAGACCCACCTGCCTCCTCTCTGGCGCCACCTGCCGCTGATAATTCTGGGGCCGCATGGCTGGCCGGTCCGCTGGATGAGCCACCTGCATCGGATCCACCACAAGAAGGGGTGGTGGCGCGGCCACCGGGCCGGCATTAGCTGGGGACGGCCAATACACCCAGCTTCCCGGGTGGTTATGAGCTGGATGAGCAGCTTCTGGAATGGCGCAGTTCTCCCCCACAAGCCTTGCATGTTGCTCCGCTGCCACCGCCATGCTCTGGTGGTTACCCTGCTGGTTGCTCTGGTGGTGGTGGTGGCTGCTCCGGTGGTGGGAGCAGAACCGCCGCTGCCTTGCCATCCTCTTCTTCCTCGCCTCTTTTGTTGCTGAGGACCCTAATCTTACCAGCCTCTGGTCATTCCCATTATAGTACTGAAACGGGTACTGATGATGCTGGTAACCCCTTAAACCGTGCGCCTGTGGTGGCTGGTGAAAATTCTCCGGGTAATCATAGGGCTGCGAGGCCAACGAGAACTGTGACATGGGCCACGACTGCGCCGAGCTGATCATATGGTATTCGGGCGGAAAAGCGTTTGCACTTAAATGATCAGGAGGAGCTCCATGACAATACACAGGATCACCCATATAACCAGGTGCTGGGCCATAACCGGGTTGAGGCGGCGGCACTTCCATCATTGGGGCTGGACACACAACATAAGGCGGCGGCGGCGCGATCCATTGCGGCTGGTGGAGGAAACTTGGGGGGTGGAGGCCGTTGGGTTCTGGCGAAAAGCTCAAGTTAGGGTTAGGGTTTTGGTGGTGGTGAAACGGTTCTTGGTTTTGGTAGGGTACTTGAGAGGCTGAGACTGAGGCTGATTCTTTCAAGCGCTTCTTGTGGAGGTGGTTAGTCTGGACCCACTGAAGTATGAGCTTGAGCAGCTGCTTCATAGCGTCTCTTCCACCGCCTAAACGCTTCGCTGCTGTCTCCACTGTGGCTTTCTTGATCTTGATCCTCCTCAAATCATCAGCTGAAATGTTGTCTTTGTTCTCCGTGAGCCACTCCAACAACACCACTCCCATCTCGTCCGAGACTGGACCCGTCCGAGTCGCACTGTCCGCCTCGGCCGCGGTCGCTTGTGCCAGATAGTTTTGTTGCTCCGCCAGCTTGGCTTCAGGCTCTTTAGTTAGGAACTCCTCCTCCAGCAGGTTTTCACTCTGAAATAGCGACGCTGGGTCGAAGAAGTCGTTGCTCTCGAGCAAGTCCATGTACCCAAAAGTGTCCATCGCATCAATGAATGAGCCCACTGCATCCGTGGAGGCCTGATCCACAGGCGGCTCGAGGATGATCTCCATCGACGCTGTGGAGGACAGCGCCTGAGACGGGGCATCCGCTTCTCCTGCATGTTGAAAAAAACGGTTGCTGTTGTTGTCACAATCGCCGCTCCTGCGACTGTTCTTCCTATTCTCGATGTTGTCTGTGGTGGTGTCCTCGGACTTCAAGGCTGCCCAGGAGGCCGCTGAGGATGACGACGACGACGCCGCCGAGGAGGAGGAGGACGACGAGTATGTTGTTGCCTTGACGGGGGCGCGGGTGGAGGAGGAAGACGAGGACGACGACATGCACGGGAAGTCCGGGAGAGGGAAGTCGGAGTAGAAGACGGAGGCCGCCTCATTCACGTTGAGCAAATTCTCCTCTTCCTCTTCTTGCTTGTCCAGCCACATCTCTCTGCCGGGATCTCCGCTGTTCACGACGACCTGCTCCGCCTCCATCGTGCGCTTGCCTTTCGGCACAGCGAAAAGGGCATCGTCGAATCTCCGATCTCCGCCGTAGAATTGCTCCGCTTGCATGATACTCTTTTTTCCCAAACTCAGGTCTATCTGTGTTTCTGTTTTTCTTTTTTTTTTTTTCCTCTTTTTTCTTTTTTGGTTGG